GGCGGCTCCGGGGGCGCCAGGACCCCGCACCGGCCCCGTGCGCACCGGCGGCTCCGCCACAGACCGGGGTGAGGGACGCGGGGAGAGCCCCGCTCCTCGGGGTGCCCCCGCTCCCGCTCCCCCGCTTCCCCCGCATCTCGGGGTGCCCCTGGTGCTTCCCCCCACTCCTCCTTCAGCATCCCGGGGTGTCCCCGATCCTCCCCCCGCCTTCTCCATCAACCCGAAGTGTCCCTGGTCCTACCCCCCCACAGCTTCCCTCCCACCCAGGGGTGTCCCCAGCTGTGCCCCCCGCTCTTCTCCATCACTTCGGGGTGCCTCTGGTCCCGCCCCACTTCTTCCCCAGCAGCGACGGTTCTCCCGGTCTTGCCCCCCCGTTTTCTGGAGACCCCCGGAGCCCGGGATATCCCGGTCCTGCCCTTCTCTCCCGGAGACCCGGCATCCCCCCGACCCGGTCCTCGCCCCCGATCCTCCAGCATCCCGGGGTGCCCCCCTCCTGCTCCATCTTCCCGCTCCCCCGGATGCTCCCGGACTTGTCCCCCTCTCCCCCGGCCCCCCGGGACGCTCCCGATCCTGCAACCCCCCCGTCCCATCTCCCGGAGACCCCAGACCCGGTGGAGGCACCGGGGGGACACCGACAGTGCTGCCCTTCCAGGGGAGGGCAGAGGGTCCCCCACCCTGGACCCCCAAAACTTCAGCAGGAAGGGATGGGGGACACCCTACGGAGGGTCCCTGGGGGGGACCCCATACCCTGCCCCACCCGAGGGGTCCTCTTGTCCTGCGACCCCCCCCCCGCGTCAGGCTGGACACGCCACCTGCGTCACCTGCACGGACACGTGTGTGCACATGGACACGCGTGTGCTCAGCCCCCGGCGCGGTGCCGGGCCCCTCTCCCACCCCCCGAGGGGTTCTCACCCCCCCACGAGGGGTTTTCACCCCCCTTCACAGCCCCTTCCACACCCCATCCATTTATCATTATTCCTATTATTGCTGTTATTACTGTGATTATCCCGGGAAGCTGCCGGCGGGGACTTGGAATCGGCGGGGCTGGGGACATTCGGGGGGGTCCTGGGGGCACTCGGGGGGCCTGGGGGCACTGGTGGTTGGTGGGGGCACGCGGGGAGGGCACTGCAGAACCGCGCGGACATGCGGAGACGGAATGATAAAAGGTAACGGAGAAATGGGAAAAGGGAAGGGAGAGGGCGAGGAATGAGGAAGACGGATCCGGGGAAGAGAGAGGAGAGAGCAGAGCCACGAGGAGCGGGGAGTCCAGAGGGGCTGGCGTCGAGGGGATCCCAACCAGCCCCAGGCCAGCCCCATGGGGGCCCTGGGCATGTGGGCACGCAGCCGCTTTTGCCCGGGGTCCGGGGTTCAGAGGAGCCTCCCCCACTTCAGGGAGAATCCTTCCAACCCCCCCGCCCTTGCTGCTGCTGCTGCCCCGCTGCGAGACCCACTGGCAACCCCAGAGCCCCCCGCTCCTCCCTGGCCCCCAAATTCCCGCACTGCAGGAGCCTCCGTACCCCTCTCCCCTCCCACCGGGGTCCCCCAGCGCTGCTCCCCCCGGTGCCACGTTCACCCTGCAGAGGGTTGGAAGCCTGAAGGGGCTGCGGGGGCACCCAGACCCCTCGGGACCCCCTCCCACATGGCCAAGAAAACTCCCCGAGTGGGTCCCGGTGTCCCTGATGGTCTCACCGGGGAGCAGACGCACACCGGGGTCTGAGAGGGGTTGGGGGGCTCTGTAACACCCCCCCCTCCCCACCTTAGCAGTCCACGGGCTGAGATAGGAGGGGCAGAAGCAGGCGGGGGGAGGGTGGGGATGAATGGGGAAGAGGGTGAAAAATAGAAAATATTGAAGGAAAAAGATAAAAAGGGTTTGGTGCGGGGGGAGAGGGGAAAGGGAGGAAAAACCTCGGGAGGAGATTTAAGGACCGATAAGTGAACAAAGAGCCGGTATTGAAATAGATCTGAGGCCGCCGGCACCCGGCGCGGGGCTGGGGGGGCTCAAAGGCAGCAGCTGCGGGGGGCCGGGGGCTGCGCCGAGCCCGGTGCTGATGGAGGAGGGGGCGAGGGGCGACCCGCTCTGCTGAGCCACCGGCCGGGGGGCACCAGGACCTGCCGTGGCTCTGGGGGTCCCTCAGAGCCACCGGGCACGTGGCGAGGCTGCGGCCGATGCCACGAGGGCTCGACGCTCCGAGGACTCGATGCCACGAGTGAGCTCGGCCTGAGCCCCCCACCCCCGCAGCACGAACCCCCCCGGAGCGGCCGCGAGTCCCTGGCGGGGTCCTGTCCCCCGGCCCGGTCCTGCCCCCGGTCCTGCTCCCCGGTCCTGCCCCCCGGTCCGGTCCTGCCCCCAGGTCCGGTCCTGCCCCGGTCCTGTCCCCCGGTCCTGCCCCCCGGTCCTGTCCCCTGGTCCGGTCCTGTCCCCGGTCCAGTCCGGCTGCCCTGGGTGTAAGGGGCGTCCCAGCTGAGCCCCCCAGGTGCAGCAGCGGCGCTGTCCTGGGCACCCCTGTGGCCGTGGCCCCACGGTCGGGGGGACACGGGGGGACACGGAGTGGGGGGCACAGGGGAGGGACACGGGGGACATGAGAGGGACACACGGGAGGGAAAAAAGGGAAGAGAGGGGGACATGGGGGATACTCAGGGGACATGGGGGACACAGTGGGGGGACATGGGGAACACAATAAGGAGACATGGGGGACAATGGGGGGACATGGGGGTTACTAAGGGCGGGTTTATGGGGGGATCCATGGGGCCGTACAGGGGGACACATGGGGGGACAATGGAGGGAGTAGCGAAGGGGTAAAGGAGGGGATACACAGGAGCCTCACGGGGGGAGACGCGCGTGGGGGTTCGGGGGGATACACGGGAGGATTG